GAGTGACAAACGAAGTGAACGTCTGGCAGCCAAACGACTGAAAGGATTTTTTGATTGAGAATGAATCATATGGGACCTGTGTATTCTAGAAAGGTGTCTAGCGTGCGTTCAAGACAAGCTCTAGGTGTGGGTCGACAAAATTTTCTACCGTGAAACGGCAACATCAGCGTCCGAGTAAAGTACAAAAAGGAGGACGAATCTTTCAAGAATCACCATTTGTGCTTGGATTCGAACCTGAAATGGTCAAGTGGTTGACAAAACGCACCACAAGAAGAAGAAAGAAGAAATGATAATGTCCACGGAAATCAATCCCGCGTACGGGAGTTCGCTGCCCATGGTCAATGCAAAATTAGACCTTTTCAAAACGCCACCGACGGACATCAGTACCTCTTCCTACCGTATGGTACCCATTCAACCGTTCACTACTGGCACGACACCCACTGATTTCCAAGTGGATGCCCAAGGGGATTTTGTGGATTTGAATCGAAGTTACTTCGATGTGGAATTACAATTGAGTTCGACTGATAATAATAACTTGGCTAGGACTGCCGATGACACAGACACCATGATTGCACCCGTGAACAATTTTGCTCATTCCATCTTCAAACAAATCAACATGAGATTGAATGGAACTCTGATCAGCGAACAGACACCTACCATTACAAAGCGTATATGGAAACTCTATTAAACAACAACAGACAAGACGGTGAGACGATCTTAGTTCCTCAAGGATGGTATAACCACATCGATGTGGTAAGCCAATACACAGCTGCAAACATCAAAAATGATGATGCTCAGCACACAGCGCTATCCCAGCAACACAAAGATACTTTGAAAGCACAGAAAGATGCCCTAGTTCCTTTTGTAGCACAAAGAAGGCATACGCTGAGGATGAAACCTCATTGGAACCCTTTATGATGGGAAAACTTTTAGCGCCTGGAGTACAATTCAGTATTCAATTTTATATGAATGCACCGGAACTAATCTTTGATGCTGTGACTATCCAAGGAAAAATCAGGGAAATCAAGATGAAAATGTACCTGTGCGTGGTACGGTTAAATGACACCATCTTTAGAAGTCTGATGAGTAAAATGACCACCCAGAAACAAATTGTCAAATATCCCACAGTCAGGTCCGAAATTGCCACGCGATCGTTCAGACAAGGAGAAAGGATACTGGAAATACAAAATCCCTTCCAATCCAGGATACCCAATTTCATTACGGCAGCACTGGTGAACACAGCGGCTTTCAATGGTGCCTACGACCGAGGTCCATTTTGTTTTGAAAAATCTAGAGTGACTAGTTTCAAACAATTTATTAGAGGAGAAGAGTATCCTTATGAATCTATGGACCTCAACTACAACAACAGACAAAAAGATTGGACAGGATATCCCAGATTTCTACAAGCTTCTGGCTACATGACCAAAGGAGAACCTAACATGGTCTTGTCCAAAGATTGGGGGCAATATTATGTAGGCGCTCATGTCAAAAATGGCAATTGTACTCTGTTTGCCATCGACAACGTAGCCAGCGTGTGGATTGTCCCTACTTAAACCCCAAGCAATCAGGTGATATCATATACAAGATTTTCGTGGGCACCAGAGGTTTACCTGGAGACACCACAATCCTTTTCTTTGCTGAATTTGAAAACCTGGTAGAAGTGGATTCTAACCAAGCCTTGTTGTACGACATTTGTAGTGGTATCCGCTCACTCAGGGCTGATTTTTTCGAATTTTCCCAACCTGACCTATGACGTAAATGATGACGTCATCAATTATAGCTAGGAGAATTGATTCTATAACGTCATCACTATCACCATCACAACCTGACCTATGACGTCATCCGTTCTAGTTAGGAGTATTGATTTTTTATCCTATGACGTCATCATCATCACTATAACAACCTGACCTATGACGTCATCAATTCTAGTCAGGAGTATTGGGTTCGAATGAATATATATTTGTCACGTTTCGATCTTCCAATCCATGTGGTAACCTAAAAAAATGCGCATGCGTAGTTCTTGTTTTTTTTATTTTTTGTTTTTTTTTACTTGAAAGGGGAATAGTAACTGGTTTTGGGGGGTTGTGGTATGTGTGACACATGTAATTCTTTATGCATGCGTACAAGATTAAATAATGTTTATTAAAATATTTATTACAATGTTTATGGCAATTAAAAAACTTGACGCCTAGTAAAGTAAAAAAAGGCCGCTGACATAATTTGTAGTATGGCTTGCGTAACTCTTCTTGGGCAATCTCTCCACAAATGCAACTGGTTATTAAAAACACACTTTTCTAAAGAGAGCAAAAAATTCATTTTAAAATAATGCATGCGACACGATAAGGATCATGGTTCTTCTAAACACCCTCAATAAATCTTTACGAACCACGAGGGAGGTAAAAACTTTCCTTCTAGTTTACGAGTGTTACATGTTTGACAGGGACATCTATTAATTTCTAACAGGGGAAAAAAACCACACTCACCCTACGGTGTCCATTGTATTGAGCGGGCTCTATGGACACAGCACGATATGCGTTCACAGAAGAACCATGATCCCGATACATATTTCTAAAAAACATTTTGACAAAAATGGGTTTTAGAGATAACAATGGATTGGCTTACACCTGTGAATTTCAACATACTCGCACAAGAAACAAGTACAATGGGGATAAATGCCGTGATCTGCATTTCTTGTATGCTGTAGGAAAGAGAAAAAATGATACCTTATGGAACGTTCCCGTGAAAATAAAAAATCACCAATTCATGAGGAAAAGCCACCAAGGAGGCACCATATCATAGTCCTGATAATATTTACAACCTCTACATATACAATGGTTTCTGTGAAGAGAGGCGCACCCATAGAGGTCATGAAAGTGAACAACCCGATTGAACTATAGATTAAAAAACTGACCTGAATACCCAACGAGGAATGTGGCGAGGATAATATTTTATGAGATAACAACGTCTCCACAGCCCGCAAACGAGATCCAATCTTGCACAAGTTTGGGACTTAAAAAACAAAAAACAAAAACAAAAAGAGCATACCTTAGGCAAGAAAGATACAAGATCCAGCTACGAAAAATATCAAGCGTTTTATGCCATGTAAACACTTTGCAGGAACACGTCTTAGGGGGGTGCAAAAAAAAAAGCCGAGTCTTAGAAGGTACTATTTAATGTTAAATGAAAAAATAACAAAACAAAAAACTTACCAAATGCCTGTCTACTTTTTTGCACTGCTTGGATTTTTTGACAATCATGTGATTGGTCCACTTGCGGATTATACTGTTTCGTTCTTTGGATGGTAACGCATCAGTGAAATAGGTCAACTGAAAAAAAACCAAACCAATCATTTACTTGGGAAAAAAAATACTTTTCGATAAAAAAGCATACTCACGTCATCCCATGTTTGAAACATATCAATCTTGTTTTGTATGACTTGGATCAAAATGATCAATTTGATTTCCAATGGACATCTTTCAAGGTTCATCCGTAGTCGGATCTGCTCTGCGACCATCCTTACGCGACCAAGGAAAAGACTAAAATGAGATCCAATAGACGTGCGAGAGTTCTTTTTTATAGTGATACGAGGAGACCTGGTACTGGTAGGAGGGGAGGGGGAGGGATGGTGGGACATCACGTACGCTTCGACACATGACCAAATATGGTCATGGGAAGAGCACGTTCGACGCAGTAGCCTACCATATACAGAATAGAACGACGCATCGACCTACCATATATGGGAAATGACCCTTGATACGACACCATCTAAAAAGCGGAAGGGTATTGTTCTCTCCGCGTCCTACCATATATGGGAAACGACCCTTGATACGACGCCATCTAAAAAAAGGAAGGGTATTGTTCTCTCCGCATCCTACCATATATGGGAAACGACCCTTGATACGACGCCATCTAAAAATAGGAAGGGTATTGTTCTCTCCGCGTCCTACCATATATGGGAAACGATCTTTGATACGACACCATCTAAAAAAAAGGAAGGGTATTGTTCTCTCCGCGTCCTACCATATATGGAAAACGACCCTTGATACGACGCCACATAAAAGTAGGAAGGGTATTGTTCTCTCCGCATCCTACCATATATGGGAAACGACCTTTGATTTGACGCCATGTAAAAATAGGAAGGGTATTGTTCTCTCCAGTGACGCGGGTACCCCCTAAGAGAATCACGTGTCATAGATTATAAAAAACACATGGCGTGCACCCCTCGCCAAAAATTGTTTTACACCAATCATGGAGAACGAGAACACGTACTATCTTTTGGGTTACGATCAGGACGTGGTAGAAGAAACCCTTATATTATTGGCAGAAGGCGAAAAGCACCCGGAGCGTCCCATTACCATGAACGTCATGGAACTGGTACACCTCTTGCAGGAAAATAAGAAAGGAGCGAGACACATGAGACTCTTGAACAAAGAACGGAAACGTGAAAAGGTCCGTGAAAATAAGAGACGTAGTTGCGAGAAAAAGAGACACTTGAAAAAACTATTGAAAATGAAAGAGCAATTCGACTGAGAAACAAACTATACCGCAAATATCGCCTTAGTCGGAATGACGAAACTTGGGAAAGTTATAGAGTACAAAGGAACTTAGTTACCAAAATTAAGCGAATATCTATTAAACGGTTCTTTTTGGACTCTTCGGCTAACACAACAACAACTGGAGATTTTTGGAAGCGGGAAAAGCCTCTTCTACCGTCTTCTGGACAAGATAACAGTGATGGCACATGCATAATGGATAGGGGTGCAGCTGTAAGTGATCCATCCAATCTTTTCAATGAACACTTCTCTTGACCTGTTCTTGATCGAGCTGTTTTGACTAAGTCTGTCGAAGATTTCGAACATCATCCAGGTGTGACTTCAATCTCGTTGCGCAATTTCAATCTTGGTTTTTCATTTCAACCTGTCAGTACAGAATACATTGGTAAATTGCTCACTGGCCTTAAAACAAATAAGTCTTGTGGACCTGACAATATCACTCCCATGATTCTTAAGCTATCTGCATCAACAATCAAAGGGCCTCTGACTAAGCTCCTTAATTACAGCCTTACTAACTCAACATGGCCACAGGAATGGAAATTAAGTAATGTTACTCCAGTCTATAAAAAGGATGATAGCTCTCTTGTGGAAAACTACAGACCAATCAGTATCTTGTCGTCCATTTCCAAGATTCTTGAGAAAGTTATGTATGATCAGCTCTATGATACTTTCAAGACCTACTTCTCTCTCAATATGTCTGGATTCTTAAGTGGGCACTCATGTTGCACTGCTCTTCTAAAAATGGTTGACGACTGGAGACTAGCCCTGGATTCTAAGAAAGTCACTGGAACTATTGCCATTGACCTTTCCAAAGCATTTGACTCTGTGTGTCACAACCTACTCCTAGCCAAGTTGCGTGCTTATGGTTTGAATGATGATGCCCTCAGATTCGTACAGTCATACTTGACCGAGCAACAGCAAAGAGTTAAATATAATTGCAAACTCTCTGATTGGCTTCCCATTCAATGTGGTGTGCCTCAAGGTAGTCTCTCGGTCCCTTATTTTTAAAAATATATATGAATGACTTAAACTTTGCTGGCCAGATCGCTTCCTTGCGTCTATATGCCGATGATACGACAACTTATCGATCTCATCACGATATCACTTTCTTGGAAATCTCCCTGAACCATGATATTGACATCCTCCTGTCTTGGCTTTCTCGTAATTATCTTATGGTCAACAACATAAAGTCCCAAGCTATGATGATTGGAGATATTGCTTACGACCCTCAATTTATCATTGGTGACTCTAGAGTCGAGTTATCTAACTCACTCAAAATCCCTGGGGTCATAATTGACGACAAGTTAACATTTGCTGAGTCCGCTATTGCTTGGAATAAATAAAACACTGAGCTCTAAACTGGAATCAGTCAATAAGTACGCACTTAAAACTTTGCTTAATCTCGGCAATAGTGTTGACTAAAATACAATTTTAGCTAAAAGTAACATGACAACTCTAGAACATAGGCGATTTTATAGTTCCTTGGTATTACTTTTTAAATGTATGAAATGGAACGGTCCAGAATATATTAAAAACTTTTTTCAATTGCGGCAATCTAGATATAATTTAAGGAATAAAGGTATAAATCTAGTGCAACCAGGGTATAATAATAGATTCTATCATAATTCCTTTACATATAAAGTTAGTCACCTTTGGAACAGTTTAACTAGAGAACTTAAAACAGCATCTAAGCTTAGCGATTTCTGTTGCAAACTTAAGACTTTCGATTTCAGCACACTAGGACCTATCTGTAAATGTAATACATGTATTTGACTTTCATTGTACATACACATACATTGTCATTTTTATTCATATTAATCTACTGCAATATCTTTCACCGAACATAATGTTTAGACTCCTTTAACTATCAATATTAATTACCTACAAATTCACAATTATTATTCATACTCTAAACTTATATATTTTTACCTATAAAGTTTTTATTTTTTTTTTTTTATTTTTTATCTGATTCAGTTGACATTGTCGCTTGTGTTTGGGCT